GCATCTTTTCTTTTCAATGTGGGGTTGAATGGTCTTGTGGTTAATGTGTGCACGTGAAATCACAAGGTCTGTCCTTGAGTCAAGTGACTTAATTGAACAAGACAAGGAGTGGGGTCACCTGTCGAACCTCGTGGACACACTAACCAAATCATACGGCCAAACAAGTGGGCATACTCCCGCCCCATTCACTAGTCGATTGCATCACCTTTCACGTCGCATGATTAAACATGGCAGGGGACTGTATTCAAACAATCACGTGACTTCTCAATATGATTGGTGATTAAATATAATTCGGGCGAATATATCAAACATGTTTGATTCGCAAATCATTCAACCAAAATACAGTGACCAATTTCGGCGCGGATTCATTCGGCAGAATCATTCGGCTACTGTGTCCACCGCTTAAACTCATTTCAACAACAATAAAATGTCAGCAGCATAATATTGTAAACATAGGATATAGCAATAGCTATCACTTTCACATGCAAAATTCTTTATATATTTTATGGCCAAATGGAATTTTTATTTGCCAAATCTTACTTTGCTTTACATTAGCCCATTCTTTAGATGCTTTACTAAGATCCAGTTTATTTTTTGTTAAGTAATTGACATCAAATTTGATAATGGATTGGTTATTTTAATAAAGTTTTGCTTACAAAATCTTCTCTGACAAACTACACAGTTAAATATCACAGCAATATTTACAAAATTTTATGAGAGCCAACCCTTTTGTTTCAGTCAGGTGTAAAACTACATGTATTGCCTATTGAGTATTATTGATGACTTTGGTCTTTTAAAATACCGTATTGAATGAAATGTTTTAAATATGTACCGGTACCGTGCAGCCTACACAACACATCAAATCTCACAAGGATTACCGAATTTCCAGCAAATTTACTTTTACCGTGTAGCCTACACATGATGGTCAGATATTATATTTAGGTACCTTAATCATTGATAGAAATAGCAAGTTTATTTGTAAGATGAGCTTTACATAAGACTCGTCATTCACTTGTGTACATTTTGAAGTGGTAGCCTGATGAAAGAAATGCTGACCGTTATCTCATTCGGGAATCGTCGCTAATCACTATAATATTATAATGCCTACGACCCATGGTGGCAGTATAATTTGAAATAATACAATGTCAAATAAGGCTGAAGTGTGAATGGCATGTAGTTATATATAGACTATCTTTCAGAAGTGAGGATGAAGTGTGAATGGCATGCAGAAGTTGAATGGGATGTAGTTGTATATAGACTATATTTCAAAAGTGTTAATGACATTCTGTAAAAATAGACCATCTTTCAGAAGTGACGCTGAAATGTTGTGAAAACAGGCCATTTTTTGGAAGTGTCCTAGTTTTTTTAACACTTCGTTTGAAGTGTCCATAGAAGTGTGTTGGAAATGAACACTTCAGAGGAAGTGTACACTTCATTTCAGTAAGAGTAACAACAGCTAAAGGTTTAAAATGTACATTTATTTCTTACTTTAGAGGGCTTCACCAATTGTATACAGTCTTAAGACCAACTAGAAATCAGCCAGATTTCTTCAAGTTTGGGAATGTGACCTCAAAGATTTGATGAAGGGAATCCTGTCATCAACCTCTCAAACATAGGCGTACGAGCCAGGGGGCAGGGGGGCAGCTGCCCCCCTAACTTTCGGGCAAGCTGACTTTTCGGGCAGACGGGTAAAGTGAAAAAAAAGTTTTATTTCATCTACTTGTCAAAATAAAGTGCCCGAAATCTAATAAAACACCAATTTTACGGGCTGGAATAGCAGTAAAACGCGTTTGAGGCCGTCAAATATTCAAAAATTTTTCTTGGGGGGTCCTTACAAAGTCAGCTCTGCTTCTTCGCCTCTCGAAGAAAACCGTCGCCGCTGTCTGTAAACCTGAAATTTTTTCGGGCATTTGTAGTTTTGCTTCCCTGTCACCGACCGTTAATAACACACTAATTTTAATTATCTTTTAATTGAATACCACGAATTTGTACTGAGTAGACTATGGATTAAAACATTTTGTCTGGAGCCACTCTACTTTGTGCGACATTTTTCGGGCATTGATTATTATTTGTGAATTCAGCTGCAACAGTCTGATTGAATGGTTTGAATTCAAAATGGGATTTAGGTTACAAAACCATTGGATACTGTTGGAGTTGCTTACACGGGCTAGAATAGCAGAAAACGCATATGTGGTGGTTAAATTTTCAAAATTTTCTCCGGCAGGGTGGGGCCTCCATACTCCGCGACATTTGATTGGTTGTTTGGAATTCGGGTCAGCCAGGTGGGCTATATTGGACCAAATTGAAGTTGCTGTATTCACAGGCTGGAATAGCAGGAAAACGCGTTTGCGGCAGTTAAATTTTCAAAATTTTCTGCTAACGGTCCCGTCTTCGTGGACTGTAAACGATTGATCTTTTGATTGGAATTAGGCTATAATAGACCACTTTGTTCAAGGACTGAAATAGCAGGAAAACGTGTTTGCAGCCATCAAATATTCCAAAATTTTTTTTTGGGGGGGGGGGGTCCATGCACGGTAAGCTTTGCTTCTTCGCCTCTCGAGGAAGACCGACGCCACTGTCTGTAAACCCGAAATTATTTCGGGCATTTCGGGTTCTGCCCCCCTAACTGTCATCGAGCCTGTACGCCTATGCTCTCAAAGACAATAAATTAAATTGTCGCCCAATTATTATCTATTCAGATGGTGTCATATTACACTGCTCTATATTTAGAATGTATAACTAAAGCTAGACGAGATTTGAATAAGAGAATAAGAAAAACTAATCAAATTAAACATAGAAATAAACAAATTTAATAACAATTTAATATATAATAAAAAAACATTTGATTCAAATATTACATAATGTAATAATAAGCTTATTAATTAGATGTAATATCTACAGCATCTTGTCTAAGCCAGGGTATAAAATATCTTACACTATTTTACTCATATACTTTGTCATTGACCACTTTGATGTTAACCAATTAAATGATTTTGGAATTTTTTCCTGTGGAGATTAATATTCATAAGTAAAACAAGGGTTGTTGAGCACATTACGATTATATAACTCTTGTCAATTATATATTGATTTCTATAGAAAGGGTTCAATATCGAAATATCAATGGCATATTGAGCCATCGTACAATACCATTTAAGAACTTATCAATTATCATTAAAAGAAAATTTGATCCAACATTATCTATGTTGGTGCAAAATTATGAACATTTACATACAGGGAAAAGGTCAACCCAAATCTTTTACATGTATTTGTTATTTAAAGGAGCTATTTCCTATTTTCGAGTTCATTTTGGCTTGTATAGCGTGCTGTGGCCCCACATTTTGTTGTAACTTCTACAAGACAAGAAGTTATTCCCGATATGCGCGAACATCAAACCGAGATCTTTGATAGCCTACCTAAACATATATATTAAGGTTTTTTTTCAAAATCGGATACAAATCGTTAGAGGGACCACCACCTTCGATCCGATTATCACGAAATTCGAACCCAGGGTGTAATGATGATATATTTAAACGGTTTTTAAAATCGGATATAAAATGTGATTACTTGAGGGTCCACAAGCCAAAAACCCCGAAATTTTTGGTACAACCAGGGTCCATAATTTAGGAGGTTACGGGCCATTATGTGCGAATATGGAAAGAAACCAAATTCCATGAAATATAGACATATATTTTAAGTTTGATCAAAATCGGATAAAAACATTGTGACCTGTACAGTGTTATTACACACTTTTACACTATTTGCGAACGAGGAGCGGACAGTTTCAATCCGCTTTTCATGCAATTCGAATTCATGATATGTTAGAACAGCTTTTAATATTGGATAAAATGCCAATATCGAAAGGAACCGCGTGTCCACAAATAAATTGTGGACTGACAGGGGCGACTCAATACACGTCCACTTGAAAATGTGGGCGTACAAAAATAGCACAGCATGATAAAACTGGGTTTTTGGAAGACTAAACAACTGATTTCCCAGAAATGATATCAAAGACTTTATATAAAATGAAATTTTTATTTTAGAAATTAAAATGTTGTCATTTGATACTCCCAATGGCCAGTTCATAGTTGTCAACGCTTATGTAATTTATATTAGGACAATAATGCTACTCAAGATGGATATGTTGTTTAGATCAGCATACCAAGCAATTAAAATCAGTGAACCAGACCAAACACAAACATTCAAAATTTAGTACTGTATACATTAATTGCTTAATTAGCTTCAGGCGACTTCTCAGGCTTTATATGTTAACCCCCTATTAGTTACTCTACTAATTGCTTATGTAATGAAATGAAATTAAATGAAATGGGGTTTAACGTCCTACTGTTCTGCTCCTATGCTGGGCTAATGAAGACGGGCATACGCCATACAGTGGGCTATGAGGGAAATTTTGCCGGGCAGCGGCACTATCGCCTACTCTTATATCGAATTCCAACTGCCAAGGGATCTTTTACGTGCATTCCAATGTATACACAGGAACTCAGTTTTTCATCTCATCCGAAGGACTAGACAGCTGTCCTTGTCAGGCCCTCCGTCCTGCATCATTGACAAGGGGAAACCACGCCGGAAAATCTGGATGAACTTTCTCCGCCAATGCAGGGATCGAACACCCGACCTCCAGGCTAGCGAGCCACCGTCTTACCCACTTAGCCACGTGATCCCCTAATTGTTTATGTTTCCAATTGAACCAATCACTCTGTATTGTAACAACATAGGTCTTATGGTTTCGTTTTATAGGACTATAAATATTATCTTTTAGTTTACTAATTTATCATTTGTAATTGATAACAATAATAATACAATAAGACTACAATAACAATAAATAGGACACAGGGTTTGCCAAATGAAGGTGTCAACTAACCTAATGCCAACCAGGTCTTATTGAATAATAAAGACGCATGCAATAGAGAAATTAATATACACGTATTTTATAATTAGAAACGAAATAAGAAATACAAAAAAAAGAAGAAAATTTGTCTTACCCTTTATTTGTTCAACAGAGAAATTATAAAAACCTTCCGGTTACACAACATCAACATCACCCAGTCTCTCAGAAATACATGCGACCGACAACTAGCCTACCGTATAAAACCGAGTTGTACCAATGACCTATTATTATAAAAATTAAAGATAACCTTTATTATATTTTTAAAATGTTGTAAAGCAGCAAGCCTAGCTCCAACCCAGCCTAGTTGGGGGACATGGCATTTTGGGCGTGGAATACCACACCCACCACCAGAAACAAGGCAGACTTACATTCTGCCTGATACCAGATATACATGCATTGATACCATATAGGAGAAAATTGGTACACTTTACAGCTAGGTTGACTTCCTGGGCTCCAGCTCTACCACCACAGAAGTTAAAAGTCTGACCTCGTTATCAAAAGGGAGATAATCGGAAATTTTGTTTTTGACATATTTGGCTTCATCTACCCATATGAAAGCTTCAAGTCGAAATTTTCACTGTTTTCAGATCTAAGCTTAAAATTAGGTAATACGCATGTGCGGTAGAGACCATATGCCTTATATAAAACTTGCAAATTAGGAACACCTACCAATTGGTAAATAAGCAACAAGCGAGGGATTGATTGATAAGACGTTTTCGGGGAATAGATCAATTTGCACTTATCGTTGTGTATTTCTACACAAACCAGGGTAACTAAGATAGACACGGGTCATGCAGTCTGCTATGAGGGTGACCCTGTTAAGGAATAGCGTCTATCCCGTTCAAATAGAACGAACAACCGGGGTCGGATACGAACAACCGTGGTCGGATACGAACAACCGGGATCGGATACATGTTGGTGAGCACGTATATATCCGTTAGGCTTTCATTTAAAGAGCGCGTGGCTCTATTCATTGGAATATTAAAATAAACGAAAATGGGTCTAAACATGTGACATGAATGTATATAATGCCCCCGTCAGATCGGGCTGGCGTCCTTGCTGCGACCATACGTCGTCCAGAAAATGCACAAGGTCGCCGGCAAACGTGAACATAACGCAGGAAATCTCCCCAAAAATTACAAAATTGAAACAAAAACGCGTACTTTAAAAGTCAGATGGCACAACCCTGGCGTTTGTTTTCAACTCGGCGATGATTGACGATCAAAGCATGATAACTAGCGTTTCCGCCACGCTTTTACCACGTTCTGGTACCATTTGCCGTCGCCGTAGCAACGCAGTAAGGACGCCACCCTGGTCTGACGGAGGTATAAGCTACCAGTATTTGAAAATTCTAAGGACATGGCTGATTCATTTAACAAATGTTTTGTTGACAAGATAAAAAGATTCGATCTGAATTAAAATTTCTACCGCAGTTACCTTCGATAACACCACTACCTTCTGCAGTGTACAGCTTCTTGAATTTACAGAAACAGCATTATTTATGATACGTCATTACTTATGGTGTTATATATATATATATACGTTGCGCTGTAGATTGTGGAAGAGTGGTGTCTCTGGTGTTACTTTATCTGCGGCATTGATACGATTGACCATGGTCTAACGGTGAAGAGTCTCGAGACTCGGGGGGGGGGGGGCAGCACGTGTGCGCTTTATCAGAAGGTCTGTCATTGAGTCAACTCATGGTTTCGATTCCCCGGCTGTACGGGACAAGGAATAGGGTCGCCTGTCCAACCTCGTGGGTTTTCTCCGGGTCCTCCGGCGGCCTCCCATTGCTAAAGACCCCCACGCGCAAGGTAATTATTGAAATAATATTGAACCATGTGTTAGTCCCGAAATGACCTGCCCTCACCCACCTTATCACTTTTTTCTAATTTTACATGCTGAACATTTATTTGACGAAACTCGACGAATTATCGCTATAATATTTTAACTTCCTTAAAGTAACTCACACCCAATTCTTTTGGGAATGACAAAAGAACAACTGGCTGGCCTTCCAAGTTTAATTACTAAACTCAGATCATATGGTAACAATAACAAAATATTGAGAATATGAATAAAAAGATGCATTATTTCAATTTCTTATGATAATAATGTAACCTCCCTTGTAAAGGGACAGTGTAGGGAAGCTATAAACTATACTATTCAAAAAAAGTAGGGGATATTTGATTTTGGGGGCATAATACTAAAATATGCAAATGACTACGAAAAAAGTCACTATAGAACCTAACAGAAGAAACATTTCCAGTTACATGTGACGCCCAAACGCACCAATAGCTACCGCATGGAATGCAGGTGATGCTTGGGATCATCATGGGGGTCCAACCCAAGATTTGCACGACTCTGACTTTGAATGTTACAGTCATTGTGGCATTGAATTCCAGGGTGGAAACATCAGTTTAATTGTTTTAGTGACCAGAAAACAAATTTTGATATGCGTCGGCTTACCCAAAATGAAAGGTTACGTGCCCTTGACATGCTACAGATCGGCACAACACAGGCGGTTGTGGCGCGGACGATGAATGTTTCTCAGTCTGTCATAAGCAGGCTATGGTCCAGATACCGTGATACACAATCTGTACAGGACAGACCACGCTCAGGTCGACCAAGGGCGACAACTCAAGCCCAGGATCGATTTATCCGTACCTTGGCCTTGAGAAATCGTGTCATCACAGCAAATCAGATCAGCGCTCGTCTTCAAACAGACACTGGTGTGAGCGTGAGTGGCCAGACGATTCGGAATCGACTGCATAGGGGTCACCTTTGCGCCCGACGTCCTCGCGTGATCCCTTGTTTGAGAGATCATCACATTCAGGCAAGACGTCGTTGGTGTAGGGGTCGTCAACACTGGGATAATCGACGCTGGAGCAATGTGATGTTTTCAGATGAGTCAAGGTTCACTGTTGATTTTTTGGACAGACGTAGGAGGGTGTGGCGTCGTCGAAACGAGCGCTTCCAAGACGTTAACGTCATCAGACATGATCGATTTGGGGGTGGTTCTGTTATGGTGTGGGGAGGCATCACTGTTGCTGAAAGAACGGCTTTACATATTGTTGCAGGGCGTGTTACAGGCCAGTACTACCGGGACAACATCTTGGCAGTCCATGTTGTGCCGTTCGCACGACGTCATGGCCGCCGTTTCATCTTCCAGGATGACAACGCAAGATGTCACAGGGCCAGGATCGTTACAGGTTACCTCCAACAACAGAACATCACCACATTACCTTGCCCAGCACTGAGTCCCGACCTCTCCCCCATCGAGCATGTCTGGGACATGCTTGGACAGAGGTTACGTCAACGTCAACAACGTCCTGCCAATGTCCAAGAACTTGCTGCTGCGTTGCAACAGGAATGGGACAATCTGGACCAAAATGACCTTAGACGTCTCATTAGGAGTATGTCACGTCGAATCAATGCTTGTTTGGCAAACAGAGGAGGATTTACCCGTTACTGACTTGGTTGTGATGCTGTGGTAACTTTGCTGTTTGACCCCGGATATCATTTTACCCTTATAATGGTCAGTCTGTGCCTTACTTAGTCTAACGATCATTTGGAATAAATCGATGAATGTGAACTTCATTTCATTTTGTCATTTGTTTCTTCGTCAGTTTCATTAGGTGACTTTAATAACACTTAAAAATCAAATATCCCCTACTTTTTTTGAAAAGTATAGATGTTACAATTAGCAATAGTATAACCACCGTAGAGGTGTTTGAATGAAAACACAAAAGGAAAACACCTCAATGGATAAAAGTAACTAACAACACCAGTAAAAGCTATAGCTACTGGGTGGGAGGGCAGGGAAAAGTTTGCTTCGCCATGCTTGACAACTATTGTAACCGGGGGTGTAAATTCTCAATAAAAACTAAGGTGGTTAGTTTTTAAACCTTTATTAAAAACCCTGAAATATATATACATTAAAATTAATATACAGTTGAGTACAATAAAATAATAGTAAGGCATGCATATTGGTACTCAATGAAATACATCAATAATTTATACACTAAAATACATCACTAATTAAATTAAACATATGGTTATATACAAATTTAGGATACGGATTATGCAGGAGAGAGCTAAACATAAAACTACATTAGAAATTATATAAATGAATTCGTTACATAAACGTCAAAAATGAATTAATGTTTTAATTCTCCTATCACAAATCGATATGCATTACTCTACGGAATGGTTTGTTTAGTTCAGCCAGCTAATCAGATTGGGGGGGGGGGGGGTGGATGTCTGAATGGTTAGCGTGCGCGCGCTGTATCATAAAGTCTGCCATTGAGTCGACTGTCGTGGTTTCGAATCCCCGGTTGTACGTGGCAAGGAGTAGGGTCGCCTGTCCAACCTCGTGGGTTTTCTCCTGGTCCTCCGGTTTCCTCCCACTGCTAAAGACCCCTACGCGCAAGCGAATTATTGAAATAAAATTAAACCATGTTGGTCCCGAAATGACCTAGTTTGTGTCGAGTGGACGTTAAACCCCATCTCTCTCTCTCTCTCTCTAATCAGATTGATCAAAATAAACTTACACTGTATGTCTTCATTTCGTTCAGTCAACCATTAGAATGATGACACTAATCTGAGGCTCCACCTACTCCGTGTGTGTGTTGGGGGGGGGGGGGTGAATGATCGAATGATTGTATCATAAGGTCTGTCATTGTCTTGTGTCAGAAAAGGAAACTACCGAAACGGACAAAGATCGCCCTTGTTCATGCCGTCGTTGCATCGGGCAAAGTTCGCTTCCTTAAATAAAGAAGAATTCTAAGGCTAATGACAAAATATTTAATACGAAAAATTATTTTACGGATTCATTAATACGAATTATATGTCTCGACTCAAAATAATCTAATAACTTACATCGGTATATTTATTGAACGAGTCAATTAAATATCATGCAAATCAAACCACGCATGACATATTTGTACCACCTTGTTTAAGAATCCAAAGTAACATAATATGCATACGGGAAATAAATTGAGGTTCTAAGCCGAATGACCCAAAACTGACCGGGTACGCATTTTTGCGGTAAGATCGTCTTAATCTGACAAAGGGGGGTTTCAGAGGTGAGTGAACAACTCGCATACAAGTTTATAAGCACAGACACTAGTGACGTTTGGTAATCAGATTAGAATTAGCTACAACAGAAAAACAAAATATGACTGTAATTAACATTTATAATCCGTGTAATATCATTGAGCACAGGGTCGGATCTAGGAATTTTGAAAAGGGGGGGCACTGACCGCGGAGACGGGGCACGCCGCTGAGAGGGGTTTTTTTATCCGTTATTTCCTTGCAGCTGTAGCCATTCCAAGAGCTATTTGGCTGATATTTTCGTCTAAGTAATAATCCGTGTAATATCATTGAGCAAGTGTATCAAAACTATATTTGATCAAATAAAAAAAATAATATTTTGTTATATGTGGACATTTTAATTGTCACCA